GCCTTGATCATAATGTTTGTGGTCGACAATGCTATCATTCACTAACATGTCCTTTTTCTCTCTCTCTGTATGAGGCACATAGGAACATATGTCCCTGACTATCTGATGGCTTGATCATGTGACTTGCTTTGGCCAATGAGATGTGATCAGTATGATGTGACCCTTCCAGGTAGAGACGTGAACAGCCACCTTTGCTACATTCTTCATTTCCCCTGCCATTGTGAAAGGTGGACCTCCAGAAAATGGCTGCTTTGTCACACAGCCAATGTGTAATGAGTACTTGGCACACACAAGAAATAAACTTGTGTTGTCGTGAGCCATTCTGGGGGTTGTCTATAGGTGTGGGCTTGCCTGGCCTGGCCCATCTGGATCAATACAGCACTGGAAAAGCTTCTACAGATATTACACAAACGAACTTCCAACAAATTATTTGTTAGCCAGGCATATAATGGGGCTGCTGCTGGTGGTGGTTCATTCATTTACTATCAACGTGACTTTTTATGTTTTGATAGCTGGCCAGTGTTATGGGTATAAGAAAATACCCATGAAGTCAGAGCCTTTGACGATAATGACTGTGAATGAGCTTAGTAATAAAATTACTGTGTATTGCAAATATCTTTCTACCTTTAACAGTTATGAAGGGAAGTCAATTTTCACTCAAACAGGTTCCTTTTCATCTGGTTTTCTCTACAATGTTTATGCCTGAAGTTTATTGCTAGCAGTAAAGAGTGTCCGAGTCTGTTATGGGAATAGCCAAATTCCCAGTGCTTTAAAATGTATTCCATAGCCCCCAGAGTCTGTTAAAAGCTGATTGATTATACAGCAAATACATCAAAACTGGTATTTATAAAATATCCCATTTCTTCAGCTCTAGCTCTCATAAGCATGAACATTACATTTGGGAGTCATGCAAATATCTCAGACAGCTAAGAGAAAATATTGTTGCAGATTTTCCATGACAAGGAAAAGGTTCTTTACTCAATACATTAATAAAAGATCTGTGTCAACTGATGGGTCTCATGAACAAATAGTTTTAAAGGTACGGTTTGAGCAGTTTAGTGTGCTTGTCTATTCAGACTTCCATAATCAATCCACCAAAACACCAATTACGTAGCAGAATAAAGGACAGTTACTGTGAATGAGAGTGCAGATGAACTTTTGCTTCTGACTAGTTCACAACTGATACCGAAGCTTTTGTTTAATTTGTTGAAGATTTGGGCAGAAAGTTCTGGCTTAAGAAGAGAAAATGGGCTTTTAGACATGGCCTATATTAAGGATGCTACAGATGTTTAATGTTTTTAATTTGTATATTTGGTCAATGATTACTCATTTGCTAATATACCTTCTACGTATTGTTTTTTCACATAGTCAATCGGAGATTGCAAAATCAAATTCCTATTTATTGTATGCTAAGATTAATATTCCATGAGGCTCTACACTACGTACTGTTCTCTGGAGAAGACATAGCGTGTCTAACTGACTTGGAAAGCAACGTCTTTTCTAAACAATCACTTGCCCTTTGATGATGCCAGCACTAACAACATGCTATGATGCAGACTGGACATAGCAGCTAGCTTTACTAAGTTCTATGCAAGAGAGAAGAACTCAATCAATACATTTATTGATAAATTGATACCTACAGAATGCATCAATTTGGGTTTAGCTGAAGTCTAGGAATTTTCCAAGAAATTTTAAAGCCTGAAGCAGAAAATAAGCATATCAACATGCCATAAAATACATATAAAATCTGTAATAGTCCTATTTTGGTTCTGAAAGTGTAACATTTCATTTTTTATGATACAGAGGTCACCAAAGCTCTTGCTTAAGTGTTTCTGATAATAAAGGAGAGTTTAATCCAGAGTGGAAAACGGTTTTGTTAACAAATTGCCCCCAAGATGATTTAATATCACTCACACTTACTATAAGTTGTGCAAAATTGTTCCCCTTCCCAAACATGTGGTGTAACATTATTTCATTGTCAGAATCCATATGATTCTTTAAACATGTCTTAAAACGGTGATGTGGACTGGGCTTTAGTACCTCCCTGGGAGTTACGTAGCTAAAGTGAGTGTACTCTTCCTTCTCCCCAAGGTATACAACCCCGTGCAATTAAACCAGCTTGGCCTGGACTGAAAGACAGGTCCATGCTCCTCCTACATTCACTAATTCCTCCACATACTCAAAAGAATAGCTTCCTGGGGGTGTAAAAATAGTTCACTGTCCACTGGGTGTGAGCCAAAAAATCCACACAAGAGCAGGAGCTCCATCCAGGTTTCCAACAGTGCATACCATCGAATTAGATTTGTGCATCCTTCCAGCCCATGGAATATGCAGAATATCCTGAAGATAAACCATCATTTTACATGTGTGTCTTATGATATTCCCCACTTGGGCCTCATCAACCACAGCCTCCTAAATGGAAAGGAGCCTGTGACAGGTGGCTCTCCCTGCTACCACATGCTGCTGATGTTGCCCAGAGAAGAGCAGACACCGAGACAGAATGAGTTGGGTGGTTTGATTTTAATATTTTTTTTTTTTTATTATCTCCCTGCTTTGAAAGCTCACTGCATTTTGCTTCTGTTATTACCAAGGATTCATTCAAAATGAAACTGGGGTGTCTCTGTGGGGTTTTGCAGCAAATAGATAAAGCAGGTTCGGGCAAGACCGGGCCGGGCCATTCACAACCTGAAGTGGATGAAGCAGTAGCCATTTGTTTGCTGGGGTGAATGGGACGTAATTTATTCAGCTTCAGCAGAGGCTGAAAGCCAATCTGGCCTTGACCCATTTATCTTTAGAAAACTAATTAAAGTGGAGAATCTGGCTTATTGTTGTTATTGAGGTTTTACTTTTTTTGTTAGGGCCAATTGAAGATTGAGGGTGCCTGTGTGTGTGTGTGTGTGTGTGTGTGTGTGTGTGTGTATGTCTGTCTGTGTTGGGGTGGAAGGTGGGAAATATCAGTTTCACCTAAAGACAGTGGCTGAAGGTCTAGATAATAAAGCAGTTTCTTAAACACAGCCTGACATCCTTTTGAAATGCAAAATAGTGGATTCAGCAGGGTGCAGAATCCTTTGAGGTGACAGTGAAATGCCACAGCAATTTAAAATGAACAACAGACAGTTTCCTAAATCCTTACAACCAAGACTTTCTAAATTGCACCAAAATGGCCCCACAGAGGCATGGAAGAACATTTTTATCACCAGCATTTTACTGAAACTGGTACTAACCATCAGGCAGGAAATGATGCCAGGATGTTAGTTGCCTTGTCCATTTTGTTTCAGAACAATTAAAAAAGTTGCATATCTTGATGATCTTTTATAAGTACTTAAATATATATGTCACAATATTAACAACATGTTTGTCACCAATTACCTACCAATGAATCTCAAAAGTTGCAGTGTAATTTTGGAAAACATATATCAAAAACAGGCCTCTGTTTTTTCTCTTGTTTGTACGTTTTGGTCTAGATAAGGTTATAGGAGACAAGTAGGAAGTACAGCAGACACAGGGATGTTATGATATGTATTCATTCCAGTATGTTCAAGGAAGTGATAACTCTTGGGGAAAGCTACAGGGTCATGACAACCATTAGGTAAGGAAACTGAACTGGACCAACTGCAGGAAAACCTGGAGCTCCCGAGAATGTGTTGGAAAGGGCAGACACTACTATCTTAACTGAAGCCACTGTAACTATCAGCGGGACCAATCGAGCAGAAACCTGACTTGTCCCCTCCCATTTCCCTCTTAGCATCAGGAGCCCTTTAGCTATTTGTTTTCCCTGTGGCCTCCTCAAGGTCTTCCTTTCAGCAGTGTTCCTGCTCCGATTTACCTCCTAACTTTCTTACTTCACCCAAATTGGCCTGGTCTCAGGGAGCGGAATAATGAATGAGGATACTACTCAGAACAATTTCTTTTTAAACACATGATTTCAAAGAAGGGATTTTAGACATCATGTTATCACTGCCTGGATTTAAGATCAAACAGTTAGCACTATGATTTCACACGTGGGCTGCACAAATAAATAGGTACCTCTCAAGTGACAGTCACCTTCTCTCTTCGTCCATGATACCATGTAGGGTGCATGTTTTTAAGAAGTGTTATCACGGAGGGGTGCAGTGGCTCTTGCCTGTAATCCCAGCACTTTGGGAGTCCAAGGAGGGTGGATCACCTGAGGCCAGAGTTCGAGACCAGCCTGGCAAACATGGTGAAACTCCATCTCTACTAAAAATACAAAAATTATCTGGGTGTGGTGGTGTGCACCTGTAATCCCAGCTACCTGAGGGGCCAAGGCAGGAGAATCGCTTGAACCTGGGAGGTGGAGGGAGTAAGATTCCATCTCAGAAAAAAAAAAAAAAAGTGTTATCAGCATTCAATGATATTGTGGAAACCAGATAAACTATTTTGGTTAATCTAGTCAAGTGACATAACCTGAGTGTTCTTGTCCTTAGCCCTGTATTGGGGGTAAGCTTTCAAGTAAAACATATCCAGTGCTCCCTCTATAAATGCTCTGAATGCTCTGAAAGATATCAGGAAATTCAAGTAGAAAAAGAAAAGCAAACAACTTATTTTTTAATCCCTTAAATTTTCTATGTCTCAGCTAATGGAAACATTAGCACCTTATGCATGAGGGCTGATGTTGGTTTGTTAGAATATATTGGCCTATTGTTCTTATAGGCCAATATATTCTAACAGGAAAGAGCTAGTTTTCCAGGCAGACTACACATTGTCTGAACATTGGGACAGAATTTAAATCAGCCAGTCGATGAGCTCGTCTTACACCAAGATCAGATTGAAAACTTGGCCATTGGAAAAGAATATGAAAAGGTTGTTAACCATAAATTTCAAGCAGAGAGGAAACCACTGAACAAGTTGGCCATGTGCAGTATTCAATCCACTCCAGATAATTTGGAAAGGGACAGTGGAGGGGGAATTTCTCAGGGATTCTCCTGAATGACTGTACAAAGATAAATGGGGATGAGAGGAAGAATAAGACCAATGCTTACACTATGCTGCATAGTCCGCCACACAGTCCTCTGGGAAGCAAGAGGAAAACAAATTTAAAGGAAAAAGAAAAGAGATTATTCTATACATCGTAATAGCACAGCACAGGCACAAAGTTTAGCTTGGTAAGTTGGCATTCCACTCACTCCCCACCCCAAATTCCCTCAGAATGACCAGTAGGATATTTGAGAAATCCATATCCACAGGACAGTGTTGAATACTTACTGGAGATTTACGGGTCTAAATCATCACCCACTTGTTGAGTTAACGTGCAAATCTGGCTTTAAAAAAAACTTTACTTTTATCAAATATATTTCTCTAAGATACACCATGCACAGTCCATTTTTACTCTAATGAATCGGCTGGAATAAAGTAACTGACACTCCCTGCCCAAGTATGTCTGCCAGCCGCAGAACACGCCGTGCTCTAATTTTCTGAGCTGTACAACTAATTGCCTTTTACGGAGGCTAATTTGAAATACCTTTCCATGCTCAGATCTTCAAATTCGGGCTATTTGTGCTGATTTATTTTTATACTTGACATTTCCAGTGAATTGGAACTGTCTTTTAGAAAAATTATAGTTTTACATCAAATTATTGAAGAGAAGTTGCAGAGTATACATTTAAGAATAGAGAAACAGAACCAGTCTCTTCCTGAGTGCAAGCAATAATCTCAGGTCTGTTTGATTGAAAGTCATTAAAAATCAGCTGGGACAGAGGGGCCATGAAGGGGAGTTTGTTGGTGACAAGAAAGCAACATAATGGTGGGATGACTCTCTTAACTCAATTACTGCAGTTGATAACATTGGTATCCTCAACAAATCCTGTATGTTGGTGGTAGGGACTGCAATATTCTCAGATGAGCTGGCTTTCTGTCAGCAGCTGAATTTATAAAAATACATTCACTCATTCTTGGATAACAAAAATCACTTTAGGGTAGTCTGCCTGGAAGCTGCTGACTACTTTAACTCTTTCTTATGCCCATATAACTTTAAAGGAGCAAATAGAAATGTTCCCTAGTGATACAAAAGAATTTCTAAGTTCCTTATAGAGTAAGACATTAAATGATGAAATTGGTGTATTTTTTTAAGAGAGAGTTTTGTTTTCAATGATTTTATATAAGGTTTCGCAGCAGTTTACTCAGTTTGGGATTAGCAGTTTTATTTTTAAAACAAACTCCATAATTACCCATTCAAATATTTAAAAAATAGCTTTAGAATAACTGATACAAGAAAATTTACCAACAGATCCCAAAGTTACTGCCACAGTTACTAATTTAAATGGCACTAAGAAATAACTCTCCAAGTGCCTTATGCTTTATAATTATGTTCATTTTGGCAAAAGGGGTGGGGTGATTGGAGGAGTATTTTGATAGTGCCCTTTGAAGCATTTTTCTGCTGAAACACTTCAAGAAATGAAGGGAAATCTTTTCAAATTATCCTCCTTTTCTTAGACACATGCTTCTTATAAATATGCAGGAAACATTTTTTCCGGGGAAAATTAAAACAGGAGTAGGTAATATGAACGCTGTTTATAAACAGCCTAAATAGGCCATAATGGATGACAGACCCATCTGGATAGTTTGGCAGCGCATGCTTCTTGAGGATGAGCATGTTTGACTATTGTACCACAGTCTGGCCAAGGATAACTGCCCCAACTTTCCACTGTTCTGAGCTATATTGGAATCCCCAGAGGAAGAAATCCTCAGGGGAGCCAATGGCTGCTGAGACTCTGTTATTCGCTCTGGGCCTAGCTCATGTCTCTCAAGAATAACCTTGGTATAGGTCTATTTGATGTGGAACCAGTGCCTTGCTCTCAGGAGCTGAGCAAAGTGGGCTTATGGCTGGCTATGCATTACACGTCACTAATTCTTACCATTTGAGAAGGGATCAGAATTTAATATAATAAAAAAATCAACAAAACTGCAATTTTCACTTACAGAGCCTGAAGCCACACCTTTAAAGGAAATAAATGCTACATGCTGCCTGAGAATGTTTTAGAATAAAATTGGCTTATTGATTTAAATACCTATGCACAGAGTCCGGTCCTTGGCTTTTACTTGTGATCATACGGTTGACCATTATGAATCATTTTCAGAAAAAGATTGATAATATATATTTTTGAGGGGCGCAAAAGGTTTTCACTCTGTTTGCTACTTGTGTATACTCTTGAGACCTTTATAGCTAGAGCATTTTGAAGTTTACCAATGAAGTTCCTTTATAAAAGGTTCAAATGTCAATTTTCATGTCCATCAGATTTTAAATATCAGATAAAATTCTCAAAATGTTGATGCTTTATTTAGTTTATCCTAAGCTGAAAAAATATTGTCTTTAGAAACATATTTTTCTTGCTCTACTTCCCCTGTTTAAGGGTGTTTCTCCTGGGGAAGAGAGAAAACTGCTTCTCTGTTTCAAAGGGGAAAAAAATGACTTTGTTGCCATACACATCATTAGAATGTTCAAATTCAATGTAATTTTAACTAAGTGTGTAATGTACCCCAGCTCTTTTAAATCTTGTTTTATTTTATTGAGGTAAGGACACTTAACATGACACCCACCCCCTTAACAGATTTTTTTTAAGTGAACAATACAGTATTGTTAGCTCAGATCTTTAGAACTTACTCATCTTACATTGTACCCCTGCTCTTAAATTAAATTTTACAAAAATTAGGAAAAGACTGGATTGTTCCAATAGCTAAGTTAAGAGCCAGTGAAAATGGAAAAAGGAATCAAACCCATACTCACCATGTGTGCTTCTGGTTAGAAAGATCTTGATATACAATGCAATTTGTAAAGTAAAACTTAAACAATGGAATCTAATGAAAACCATCATTTCTTTAAAACAGCTGACTAGTTATTTGGCGGAATCTAACTGGTGGTTTAATAGAAAAACAGTGACTATTTTTAAACTTTTCCTGAAACTGCGATAGGGAACAGATATAAATTGGTGGGTGCGGTGGCTCACACCTCTAATCCCAGCACTTTGGGAGGTTGAGGCAGGTGAATTGCTTGAGCTCAGGAGTTTGAGACCAGCCTGGACAACGTGGCAAAACCATGTCTCTACAAAAAAATAAAAAGAAAGGCATGGGGGTGTATGCTTGTAGTCTCAGCTACTCAGGAGGCTGAGGTGGGAGGATCACTTGAGCCCAGCAGATCAAGGTTGCAGTGAGCCATGATCATGCCACTGCACTCCAGCCTGGGCAACAGAGTAAAACCCTGTCTCAAAGAATAGATATAAGCAAGGTATAGTAGAAGTTGCAGCAACTACAAATATCTACACTAGAGAGTAGGTTTTATTTGCTAAGAAATGTAATAAATTTATAACATACTTTAGCAGTTAGTAACTTCAGTTATCCCTTTATTTTGAAACTTCATAAACAGGCCTTTAGGTTGTAAGCATGTTTGATTTTTATAGAGAGAAATGCTGAGAGGTACTTACTTCGAAGCCAAATTCAACCAATTTAATCTTATGAGTTCTACACTATAGAAGAATATTAACTAAAATCATAAAGTAATTTATAACAGTGACTAATAAAAGTGTTTTCATAACTGGCAGTCTTTGAGACTTGAGTTTATACGACACGGTCAGATGTGGTTCAAGTGCTTTATGACATTAAGAATTTTATCTGTTAATTTTACATCAAGATAATTGGCAAAGCAACATTAACATCACTAACAATTGCAGGTATATAAGTGTTTATAGTACTATAAATGGAAGAGATTTGATTAAAAATATTCAGGCAGTATTTCTTTGGAATTATGAACTTTTATTTTTTATAGCAAAATTTGGTCTTGAAAACACATTTAAAAATTGTATTTACTATGTTTACGGTTGTATTCTCTGAGTATTATAAATTGCTTTGATGATGGATATCACTGAGTTCCCTGACACACATCTAAACAGCTCAAAGAGACTACTTCTAAGGATTCCAACTTTTTAAAGACATATACAAAAGAAAAAAATGATAGTAACATTGATTTGGGGTTTCCTGGCAAGGTCTTTCAAACAGAAAACTTTGCAAATAAGAAAAAGTCATAATGAAGTTGCATTATATCATAATTGAATAAATAACCATTTTCAGAAAATAACTAAAAGAGATGAGTAGGAAATGCGCTATTGCAATTATATCTCTGGAAGAACTGGCCACTTAGTTTTCAAATTAATATGTCATGAGAAATATGAAGTCGAAAATTTGGTCACTGCACACATGTGTTAATAGTTTCTTAATGGATTAATAGATTTCTTAAATAAGCCAATTCATGACCCAAAAGAAAGGTCCATTACTTTTCAATATTTGAATTAAGAATAGAAGCAGATGTAAGAACGAGATGACTTTTATAACCCACTTTTCAGAATCTCCTAGGAGTTTCAAAGAATGACTTTGGTAACACAAATCGCCCGCCCTGGTTATCAATCTGAGAACACTCACCAGCCGGTCCAGGCTTGTGCCTGCAGCAGTCGTTGGTCTTTCCTCAGGATTGTAGGGCCTGAAACGTGTATTAAAATTTTCAGGAGCTGAGCGGGCAGATCTGAGAGCTGGAGCAGGCTTGGGCTGACCACATCCCTGAAAGACCTGGAAGAAACATTGAAAAGTAAAGGAAGTTAGACATTGAATTCTCTCCTAAATTCATGAGGCAGAAGTGCGCAACACAATGGTGTCCACATTTCTCATGAAGTTTTTACCTCCAATAAACTCTAATTTTGAAAAGTAAGCAACTGTTACCACTAATAGAACAGAAAGAACTACCCAGATACAGAGTGACCAACTACATGCCCTGACTCACAGTTTCAGCATACACCGTCAATCCGTATTATTGGTAGATTCATATTTGCAAATTTGCTTACTCACTGAAATTTATTTTTAACCCCAGAATTAATATTCATAGCTCTCTCATAAACATAAAGACACAGTGCCAAAAAGTTTGAGTCATGTTCCCAGCTGAGGCTGGAGTAGACACACTCTCTTATTTCGGCTCTCAGATTGTAAAAAAAAAGTGTTCTCTTTGTGATCGATGTAGTACAATGTTTTTCACATTTTTGTGCTTTTTCTTGTTGATTTCAATGCTTAACATCGCCCCCAAGCATTGGGCTGAAGTACTGTCAAGCGTTCCTAACCACAAGATGTGTAATATGTCATATGGCAAAAATATGTATGTTAGATAAACTTCATTCGAGCCCTAATTATAGTGCTATGAGTTCAATGTTAATGAATCAACAATTTAGATTCAGTAACGTGTCTTTTCACAGAAACACACATAAAACAAGGTTCCGTATTGATTGGTTGATGAAATTGCTGTGGTCAGTGGCTTGCAGGAGCCTAAACCCATATTTCTCATTGCTGCAACGGTTCAGTATTTGCTAAGTCAATGTTTGCAGTGACTCTATAGAACATAACTACAATAATGGGAACTGAATTAAAAATAGAGATTGGAATAGTTACTCCACAGAATAATTTCAGGATTAAAGGAATTGTATCTCACTTTTACATACTTGAATTTGGCAGTCTATAAACATCTGTTTGGGATGCCTGTTAATCATGGCAAATGTATTTCATTGTATAGCATATAAGGCCAAATAATTTCAGTGACTCCCCTTTGAGTAATGAAAATGTCTACTGGAAGAATTCTTTAAAAACACTCTCTTGAGCAGTGGTGTAGCAATGGGACAAGCAAATGTGAATGGAATCCATATGATGATAGCTTCCTCTGATTTTGTTGTTGACAACTGTTCATGTCACAATCAAGATCGCTATGGGAAATCAAGCATTTTATTGTAATGATCTTAGGGGTTGAGCTGCCAGTTCTTTTTCCACAGTGATTTCACTCAGGGTGGTGTGGAGACACTTCCTTTGCTGTTTTCAGAAGCTTTATACTCTGTGCTGGTTATTGAGAGATAATACCTTTACTGAAATTACAGAAAATCCAGTAACATTTTCAGAAAATTTTGATAAAGTTTAACTTTATTCTATTTCTTTCATTTCTCCATAGCAGATGATTTTTGTCCTAGATACTTTTCCTTCAGTCAACTTTTTGGGTGTATTTACATGAGCTGATCTTTAACTCGCATGTAGTATATTTGCAATGCATTTGTTCCAGTTTTGTTATTTCATTCTGTGTTAACTTTAAAATAAGCATTTTTCATCATGTCTATTATGTGATTCCACTGAAGTACACAGAGAGCTCTTGAGTGCCATTCACAATGACAAATTCCGTCTTGAGACACAATTCATTTTGTTTTACCACTACAGCTAATTTTTCTTTCGTTGCATTCAGAAGTTCTCCTTCAACTCAGCATTTTGCAGAAGGGTGGTATTTTGTCTTGGCATTCCTCGAGATTGGTCTTAACACACTATTGATTATTCTTCTCTCACACAATTTCTGAAGCTGATGGTGTAAACTGGTGTGATAAAGATAGTGGCCCTTTTCTCCCTAGTGCCTAAATCACTTCCCCCTGGCAAGGTCGCTGCTGATGGAGGGCATTAACATTTCCAGAGCTCCAGGGAACTGTTGAGTGTGCTATTCTGGATTGCTCTGAAAGTGACAGCTGACTTTTAAAAAATGTAAAGCCTAAGGCGAAACACTGCTAATGGCCTTGCAGAGATTTCAGGAAGCCAGGTACTGAAAGAGTTAACGGACCTTTTCAATTCACCCTTTGGGAAAAATCTGGCTTACTGGGTTAAGTTAAATCAAAGAAACATGAATGCCCTGAAAGAATATTAGTGTTCTAGAGAGATATTTCACTGGAATGGAGAAACTTAACATTTGCTTGGATTTTTTTTTGGAGGGTTTTAATTATTACAGAACAGAGGTTAGTTAATATACCCCAGTAGCTTTCTGTTATTTAGGTCAGGTTTGGATGCTGAAGATAGCTTCCATGCAGAAATCATTGTGTCTGTGACCAAACTGAGGAAAACACTGACTTCTGATTACTTTGTATAACAACACCTGGCCACCTAATCAGGTGGAGACCTATATGACACCCTGCAAGCCCCTAAACGGAGATCCTATCATCATACCCTTAGAAAAACAGAAGTGCCATAAGAGAAAGCCTTTAGTGTGGAAGTTCTGAGCCTAGGGATCGAGAGCTATTTTTCAGAATTTTACAAAACCTAATGAGAATGGTTTACAAAGGAATACTTTGCAGTAGTTGCCTTGTTTTTGCTTAGGAATGATTTAAAAAACCCTTTGTATTAGTCTCATACTGAGAATATACCTTAAACAACATATACCCATCATTTAACTTAGATGAGTTACAAAGTGAATATTGATAATTTGATGTTCAATACATGTGCTATAGTCTGAATATCTGTGTCCTTCAAGAATTCATAAGTCAAAATCTAATCACCAATGTGATGGAATTAGGAGGTAGTTCCTTTGAGAGGTGGTTAGACTCCATCCTCATGAATAGGCTTAGTGCCCTTATTAAAACAACAACCACAACAACCAAGGATCCAGAGAGTGCCCTTATCTCATGTGAGAACACAGTGGGAAGGTGCCATCGTCCATAAAACACCATGCAGGTCCCCCCCGAGACACCAAATCTGCTGAAGCCTTCATTGTAGACTTGCCAGCCTCCAGAAATGTGAGAAATAAATTTCTGTTATTTATAAGCCACCCAGTTTATGGCATTTTGTTGTAGCAGCCTGAGCAGACTAAGACAGCAAGCAATCTGTTAGCTTGAAAAAAATATTTTTAAAATATGGGGGTCATGGGGTAGGTGACAAAGGACATTTTTAGCCAGAAAATTTTGACCATCTCAATTTTCTGAGTTTGCTCTAGCAGCAGTTTAGTTAGGCACAGATTCGTGGCTCATGAGGGCCATGGCTAGGTTAGTATAAAAGACCAGTGAGCCTTTTCCTTGGTGGCTTTTCCCAACGTTTTACATTTTGAATAAGGAAAAAAACAATTGAGAAATAATAATGCGATGGAAAGGGCTGTAGGTTCAATGAGAGTCAGTAAATCAACTAGTTATGGCTACAGATGTAGATTTGGATCATCAGCTTAAAGATGGTATTTAAAGCTGATTGCATTTACCAAGGGCAAGTATATATAGGTGGGCAGATGGATGGGGCTGAGGACAGCCTATTGCCATGCCAACATTTACAGGTCCTCTCTGAGCCTCAGTTTCCTGCTCTCTCAAATGGGAATAACAATATTATGTACCACACAGACACACTATGATGATAAAATACAATATGTAAGGCAGAAAAACAGAGCCACATGTCTAGAAAAGTATGTGCCTGATAATTAGTTAATTATATTATACCGTACTCCGTATTTTCCAGAAGTTTTGCTTTCTAGATAAGAAAATATAAAGGAAAAATGTCTGGGCTGATGTTTCTTTCTTTTTTTACCTTTTAAAAATCTTACAATTTTTTGTTACAGACAAGGTCACACGCTGTTGCCCAGACTGGAGTGCAGTGACACAAACACCACACACTGCAGCCTCAACCTCCTGGGCTCAGGCCATCCTCCTGCCTCAGCCTCCTGAGTAGCTGGGACCACAGGTGCATGCCAACCACACCCTGATGTTTTAAAAAAATTTTCCACAAAGTATTATTTTCAAGGGCAAACAGCTGTTATATAAATAACAGATTCCACCTGTCAAAGTTAAATTAGGTACCTTCACAAGGGTTTCATCATGCTAACATGTGTTCAGACTCATTGAAAGGGAGGATGACATTGGTAGTGTTTCCCCAAACTATTTAAACATGGTTCCTTTTTCTTATAAAACTGGTGTTCCAAAGAACACACCCTGAGATATACCGTGAAGGTGGTCATAACCTGCCAAGGAGAGACATGTTTCAGATAGCACTGCATTTACTTAGAGGTATTTGTGAAGCTGTTGCACCTTCCTCTGCCTTGAATTTTAGAGAAGAATGTTATTTTAAGACACTAAAGGGCTTCTTTTTACAACAGAAGAGAAGTTTCTAGAGGTTATCCCTGCAGGCTAAGCCACCTTTTTGTGGTACAAATCATTAGCCTTACCCCTTTAAGAAATAGAATCAGTATTACCACCTCCCGACCCCTGCCTGCTTCTCTCCAAGGGATATTGAAAGCGATAATTAGATAATCCGGGAATGTATTTGGAAGTCCCAATGTAGACAGATGCTACAGATGTACAAAGGAATTCTCCTTCCACCTAGCTGACTTGCAAAACCTGTGGCTTTTAGAAAGACATCTGGCTCATGAATCCTTTCTTTTAAAAGGATGACTAAGATAATGTCTCAGAAGTCTGTTGGTATTCTAAGATTAAAGAAGCTGACAGTAGGATAGGAAGGGAAGAAAGGAGAGACATTTTATAATTTTGGAGGGAGGAGAAGGAGGTGTGGTGATAACAGGTTTAAGGGCTGTGTCTTAGGTTTCTAAATACAAGTATTTTTCCTTTAAAAATGTTGGGGCATCTTAACATATTTCTCTGAAAATAAACTACGGTGCCCACTATTTCAGAGGCACGTGTAGCTTTACACCTATATCTCTTCATCTTCTTTATCTTCTGCATTGTCTTTTGCAGCTTGATTATACATTTTAAAAAGTCATTACTGGCAACTTGAGAAGCAGTGGCTGCAGGTAA